CTCTCTCTCTCTCTCTCTCTCTCTCTCATTCTATTCCACTCCTTTGTAGAGATTTGCCCCGAAGTTTTCAATACACCTGCTACCAAGCTATTGTTAGTATAACACCATCCAAGAGGGAGAGATTATTGTCCTGACAAACACGCCGTTCTATTTCCTTCCATCAATCTATACTCTACAATCACCGATGACCGGTGTACAAGGCACCGATTTATATTTTTGCAGCGGATGCGCGACAACGGGCACAATGTGAAATTTAGAACGAGCGCGGCGAACGTGGTAATCAATGAGGTAAGTCGGGATACGCGTATTTCATTGGTTATTCCGCGACAAGACGCGCATGACAGTTCCCTCCTGTGTCTGTCTCTGTCATACGCGCAATTTTCATCCCTTGTCTCCTCTTCGAGCCCTCTGTCCTCTGTCCTGCTTGTCCCTACCGTAGAACGTTCGAACCCCTTACCTCGCTGCCCATCGCATAACCCAACTCCATTCACTTTTCCTTTTTCCACTCGGTTTTCTCTCTCGGTTTTATCTTCGTTGGTCCTTCTTGACAACAGTGCATTATTATTATACCACGATGAAAAAAGGATAATGTCTCCCGGTTACGCTCCGCTATTTCTTCATTAATTCTGTTCTCTTGGTGACCATTGCGGTTTCAACTAGAGCTAGTATCCGGGTACTGAGATATGCTCAGATAGAGTAAAATTACCCCATTATAGAGAAAAATTATCTAATGAACTATCCGAATACCCCCGGATATCTTACGAGATAATTGAGGCTAGAGTTATTATTATCCAACTCGTCGGATATCCGGACACTCGATATAATTTTATCCGATGTTTCGAGTAATTTATGTTTTTGCTGTGAAACTTGTTAAAAAATATTTATGTAAAGCAGCAACATTTGTCTGCTCTGAAAGAATATTTTCCACAACTGGAAATATTATTATCTCAGATAACAAGAATCTACTATTGGAAAAGCTAGAGTTGTTAGTATTTTTGTAAAAATTATTAGTACAAAAAGTAAGTATCTCATTGTTTTTATTATTTATCGCTAAAATATAAATTACATTATAGACATCTGAGTAATATGAGTAGAAATAATAAATATGTAGTCTCAACTATTTCGTGCATCCGGATATCTCGTGAGATATTCGGATACCCAGGTAATTTCGTTTACTCGGGGGTATCTCATAAGTGACAACTCTTGTTTCAATACTTTTTTAAATCAATTAGAAAGAGCGCGAAGAAAGATAAGAGAAACTACAAAATTTAACTGTCGTGAAATTCGTGTTGAATCAACGAGGTTACGATTCTTTATCTCTGTGTTCTTTCCTTTTTACCTCGTGAACCCTTCGCGACAGGACAAGGAAATTTCAAACAAGAGAGGCAAACTCTTAATTAATAATTTGAATAAGTCAAACACTCCGGCTCTCGTTTGATTTTTATTCGATAAACGGTCCGTGCCGTTGTCGTGGGATTTTTTAAAAGCGGCAAAAATGTTCGTCAGTCTCTCGAAACGGGAAGTATTAATTAATGAAATGGCGATCCATTCTAAGAACGAACCAATATTCAGTTTGCAGTACCATGATATGAAATAATTAAACACAGAAAACGATGGAGCGTTATAATTACCAGTATTAAACTACTTCCATTCTAGTAAGTTGCAAATTTATTTTTAAGTAATACTTCACGACAGTTAAATTTTATTGACAAGAAAGAAAATGATCGTATACAAAGATATAAATCCATTCCAGATACGTTAGTAAGTTGCAGATTTATTTTTAACAACTCACAAGGTACAACGATCAGTTAAGTTTTGTTGACAGAGAGGAAAATATGATCGTATACAAACATATAAATCAATGATCGTATACCGAGAAAAGAATGATCAATTTTATACTATTTGCTCGAGCAATTGCTCGAGCAAACTTTCTCGAGTGTGTACATTCCTCGATAAGATACCGTCATTTCGATTAGATTCTAGTCAGCGCGATTTCTGCATACTGCCGATGCACTCTCGTATGATCTCTCATAGTGTCCAATTTTGCCGCGGTACGGCGCTGGCAATGTTCTTAACGGACGCTTCAAATTTCACAATGTTCTTTGTAAACACGCGTCTCTCCGTGTCGATGGCTCAGGTATCTTTATATTGTTTCTGATTTCGTTTGCTTTACGATTCGTGGCTTGTTTCGTTGTTTCTCGAGTTGAGATAACTCCTCTTATCGTTAAGAATAATAAATTGTTCTCGCACAGCGTTTTGCGAAGTTAGTATTTCATTCGAAGGAAATGAAGCATTAAGTTGACAGTGGACTGGTAATGGGCTTTGCGTTAAGCTTGGCACGTGCATCAGCCAATGCATAATTATATTAGATTCTTCTGTGACAATAGCAACCAGTTGTTCGTACGGAATGCGATAAAACCATTGACGTTCGCAATGTCTACGTAACCGTAATCGTATTCGTACAAAAATGTAATTGCTTTCCTGTGCGGTACTTAAATGTATTGGAGTATATGCTTTCAAAAATTTACTTGCTGGGCATGAATGGACAGGTGCAACCCTCTAGGGAGAGGTTAGGTAAGTGTCAAATTTGAGTCAATCTCGCGCAAAAATTTCCTGTTACATATCTACCTTTTTTCCCCCCTTTGGTCAGTTACAATTCTTTTCTATTGTTTATGCTTCTTTTATTACTAAAATCTCTATTACCATGGCTTTTAGCGATCTTACTCGTTCCTTTCTCGTTTACCAAGCAATCTCGTTCACATAATGAATCGTAAAGAGAAAAGAATACTTTAGAGATGTACGAACCATTGATCAAAGATTGCTTTGTTCTTAGGAGGCTTTACTAACAGTACAATAGAATTATTTTCTGGTATGATTACCACAGATCGTGTTCCAAATATACAACTAGCTACTACAAATAATGGATTGCCTATGGATGACTCCAGTGTTACTACAGAGGTTGATAGCAAAGTCAAAACAAAATTATTGTCTATGTGGAATAATGTTAAATATGGTTAGTGTAAAACAATTTCACAATCGATTATAATATATACATGTATTTCTCCAAATCTCATTGATATTTGATTTTTTCAAAGGCTGGACCATTAAGGTAGTTAAACCAAACTTCTCGAAAGAATCTCCAGTATGGTTACTTGGAAAAATTTATCGTAAGAAACCAGAAGAGTTTTTGGAAAAAGCTTCTGAAGCAGAGAAAACTTTAGATACTGGAAGTGAAATATCTTTAGCTATGGATGCTATTAGTTTTGAGGATGGTATAGAAGAATTTAGAAAGGATTTCACATCACGCCTTTGGTTAACATATAGAAGAGAATTTCCTATATTAAATGGTTCTACATTCACCACCGATTGTGGTTGGGGATGTATGCTACGTAGTGGTCAAATGATGTTGGCACAAGCGCTGGTCTGCCATTTTCTTGGAAGAGGCATTTATTTTTTTCACAGTTTAATTATAAATGGCGATATAATAATTATTAATTACGTATATTATACTTATATTTTATTTATAGAATAATTCATAAACATTTTTCTTACAGAATGGCGGTGGCAGCTAGATCAACCAATAAAAACAGAACAACAAAAATCGGATGAATATAATCACAGGTTAATAATTAAATCATTTGGAGATCTACCAGATAGTATATCTCCATTTTCTATACATACACTTGTTTCTTTGGGTGCTCTATGGGGAAAACGTGCAGGAGATTGGTATGGACCTACTTCTGTAGCTCATCTTTTAAGCCAAGCAGTAGAGCAAGCAGCAGAACAACATCCAGTATTCAATAACTTAACCGTTTATGTTGCTCAAGATTGTGCAGGTGGTGTAGTTAAATAATGTTAACGATGAAAATTTGCCATATATTCCTGAGGCTAATTTATAATTAATTTATATTTTTCTTACAGTTTATCTGCAAGATGTAGAAAATGTATGCCAAATGCCAGATGGCAAATGGAAATCTCTTATACTCTTTGTACCTTTAAGACTTGGTGCTGACAAATTAAATCCTATTTATGCATCTTGCTTAACACACTTACTTACACTAGACACTTGTATTGGTGTAATCGGTGGTCGACCTCGGCATTCGCTTTATTTTATTGGTTTCCAGGAAGATAAATTAATTAATCTAGATCCGCATTATTGTCAAGAAACTGTTGATGTATTAAAAGATAATTTCCCTTTGACGAGTTTTCATTGTACTTCACCAAGGAAAATGTTAATATCAAAAATGGATCCTAGCTGTTGTGTGGGATTTTATTTTCATAACAAATTGCAATTTACAAACTTTATGGAGATTGTTCCCTCTGTATGTATAATTATTCCCATCAGATCATTGTCCTGCATTATATATAGATAATTTGCAAATACAACAATATATTTTTGATATTGCAGTACTTGGTGCCAGAAGATGAAAAAGTCGATTATCCGATGTTTTTATTTTGCGAAGGGAGCGGGAAAGATCTCCGTCAAAAAATTGAAATTGCAGAAAATATAATTCCTCCTACTACCTCTTTTACAGGTAATGGTACGTATGATGACGATCTTGACGAGTGCGAAGAATTTGAACTACTACAATGAAATGTTGATTATAGACATTAAAAAAGAAAAGATATCATGTACTTAAAAAACATTCATGATAATTCCTGGGGAAAAATGATAATGTTTGTCATTAACTATAATTCTCCGTTCATTCGTCCATATATGTATAAGAAAAAATCGATTGATGACTTTAGATGACAACGTTGCATATTAGGGAGTTGAATATTAATTTTTAAAATGAATTTATGCCGCAATATGATCTTTAGATCTCAACATACTCGTTGAACGACTGACATGAATTGATATATCGACTATTTTTCATTCGTGATAATGCATTTATAGATTCGAATTAGCATTATCTATACATTATTCTGTGATCATAATTTAGAACGCGGCTTTCATATTCCAGTTATTGCACAATTTTTTTTATCTTGTTTATTGATCTCGAAAAATATTAAGTAGAATGTTAATTTAGTATATGACTTAGAAGTATCATAACCAAAAAGATATTTATTCTTTTTCATGGATAATTATGTCGAGAAAATCTTACTTGCGTAGACCGTAAGTTGATGATTTTGCTATGAAGAGTAATTTTTATAAAAATTTCTTAATTCCTTATGAAAATGTTCCTGACAACTTATTTTGTGACGCAGCAATATTAGATTCCTCGCAAGATACAACTTGAGTATATTTTCTTTTGTGTGAAAGATATGTCTATGCAATCATCAGTATGCATTACATATTCAACCATATCTACCTGTTGTAATGAAACCTCAATTAATTTAAATTTTTTTTTTTCTACGATACAACTTTAACTTATTTATTTACGTAATATTCTGATTTTCCTTCAACAGTTATAATGAACTTATACTAAGTTCTCACAGCTCATCACTGCGTTTGACATAACGTTTTATGTTATGAAAGAGAAACACGTAATTAATAAGCATATATGACATTAAATCATTGTTATTACTGAGGAATGACTTAATTTTCGAATGAAAAGGAAATGTGAGCATGATATATAAGGTATATTATACTCATATTGATAAGATCTGTACACAACTAAAGGTTGTTAAAATTCTTATATCGGTACAGTTAAAAATAAATATGAAAAAATAATAAAAAAAATCATGTTTTAATATTTATTACCTATTTATAATAATTAATACATTTTAAAACGGAATATACATATGTCAATATACTTGCATCATAAAAGTTTCAACAAATTCCACTAATTTAGAATCATTCTTTAGTTCGTTTGATCCCTTTATATTATAAAATCAACAACGTTTTACAATTGATGTTTATAAATCATGATAAATAAAACTTAAATATAAATCATTTACAATGCTTGCTTTGTTAATAAATATTCATAAAATTATGCTTTCATCAAATCTTACGTGTCGATACAAAGAATATGTACAAATATAAAAAATCAGATCGGGTATGTACAAAATAAGTAAAAGTTGTGGATAAAAGTTAATAAAATTGATTTATACTGTATTCATCCAAAATATTGAAATAATCTATGTTATAATTGTATATACACAGTAACTTTTATATATGTACATATATATAAGTTGCAGAAAAATATATCAAATCTCCACAATTTGTGTGCATCCATTCAATTCATCAATTTGTGCGCATGTAAATTAATATTGATATCTTACACAGCACAAATGGAAGCATGTAATTATTATTAATTAAAAAGATATGCACTAATTTGTTATTTATTTTGTTATAAAATATTAATATGCCTAGGTAAATTAAGAACACGAAAAAAATTTGGTAAGAGTTTCCTTAACATCTGGCCATAGTTCATTAGTAGTGTTACCTCGAAAAGTATTTAATAATCCTAAATTACTATAAAATTCTAAAATAGGTTTAGTAGCATTCGAATATCTCTCCAGTCTTTCTTTTACAATTTCAACCTTATCATCGTCTCTTTTACTTAAAGGCTCGCCAGTCACGTCATCCTTACCCTGTTAAAAACCAAATTATTAGTTATTCAAATAGTTTTGGGCACAGTGAAAAGTTTCAAAGATATAAAAGTCGTCTAAAAAAAGATTCATCGGTTAGTAAATCGGAAGGAAAATCTAATTATGAAGATTTACTAGGCATGTTGCCAACGATATATTTGAGTATCAGTCAAAGTTTCTGTTCCAACTTACCGGTACTTTTGGACTGTTGAACCCGACATTATAGACTCTTCCACTCGGCAAATGAATCCATCTATTTTGCACGCGATCTAATATCACTTTGACGGGAACATCGAGGTAAAGAACCAGATTCACTGAATGCATTTTTTGCAGCATTTCCGCTTGTATTAATGTTCTTGGAAATCCTATAACAATCCCAAATATTTGAATTTACCTGCCCGCGTATGTTCACAATCCACATCTATCGGACATCAATCGATTAAAACTTTGAATTCGATTGAGTTTAATGATTAATTACAATCAAAATGAATTAACCGTAAAAATCGCGATTAATTCAATAATTAAATAATTAAACAACGAACTTAATTGCTGTTAATTGATAATTAATCATCTACTTTAATAGGTAACAACAATTATTTGAATAAAAATATTAAAACAAAGTAATAGGTAAATTGGTAACTGCAAATAACAATAAAATATATTTCCATTATAATTTTTAAGATTGTATTGAACTACTTACCATCTAATAACCAATTTTGATCAGCAATCGATTCGATTTCTTTGTTTATCATTGAAATCATTATATCATCAGGTACGAATTTACCGGATAATACATAATTCGAGACTGCTTTGCCCAGTTCTGTATTATTAAAACGATTACATTTTGATTACATTTATCATTTCGTACAGGGCGTTATTATTAATGTAACCATACAGTGGACTTTGAGACGGCCGATAATTGTATTGACGGAAGATTATATTTGTCTCAAGAATTATTTGAATTTATGTAATAAAAAGTTTAGTATTTTCTCATTGTACAAATAAATAGCCCGATAATGTGATATCAAATATATAAAAATGCATTACAAAAAAATCTAACCATATCCAAATAGCTATTTTTGTAGATGTACTTCTAAGAAATTTGTCGAAAAACAAAATTTTATTAATTTTACTGTATGTATAAATAATTTGACGATTTCTTATAGAATTAAAAATTAAAAGAAAGAAACTCATTCATAAAAATGTTTAAAAACATCTGAACTAACGCAGATAAGTAAGGCATGTTAATTAGACCAATTCGATAATATAAATCTACGTATATTGGCTTGATTATATAAAATGACAAAGGAAATGTATACTTAAGCATTAGATTAATTTCCTGTATGTATATTAACAACTTATTAAGTTACATGTGGAATTTGAAACAATAACAGATCGACAAAAATCCATACTGTTTAGTAATAAATGATAGTGCAATGTAATTCCGAGCACGAATCTAAATATTTAGAATATTTATAAATGAATAGTATGCCTTTCATTCGATAACTATCGCGTAAATTTAGTTCGCAAACATAGTACGAATACATAGTATAGAATAATATCATGAACCATTAAACAATAATTTTAATTTGATTAGAGACTATTGAGAAAACAAATGTTTCTTTAACTGCGTTTCATTAAATAAAACATAAACTTTTAAGGTTGAAACATATACATATGTATATGTCATAAATATACTTAAAATCAAAAAATGTTTTTGATAAATCAACTTCAAAAAAACAAATGATATGCAAAAATTTTAATCTGAAGAAATAAAAATGAATGATAAAAGTTTCATCATTCTTTATTAGAATCATTTAAATAACACAGCGAACGGTTTATGGTTTAAAACGTACCGGTATTCGACTTCATATGAAGTCGTAATTTATCACCACTTGAAATGTGAGTCATCTTAAAATGTTCAACAATTCTAGTTGACATGGTACCTTTACCGGAAGCAGGGGCACCTAAAATCACGGCCCTGAAGGCCGCAGCCTTGAAACACCACGTGGATAGTACTACCATTAAATCGTCACTTTAAAAGGACACGAAAATAAAAAAAATTTGTCAAATATTTACGTCGAACTTCTAGTTTAATTGCCCGTCGTTGATTTACGCGAGAATGTTGTGGCAACTACAGTTCTTTAAAATATAACGCGTTACTCTATCTATAACAGTGACCTGTGAACCACGATGGCGACTAGTTGCCGGATTGTTAGATAACTGATTAACCAATGAATGGAGTCTAGTCTTTTCTGGTTTGATTGTTGGCTACCTTGCACGATGTGCATATGTACGTACAAAAATATGACATAAATATAAATCTTTTTCTAATTTTTGCATGCTTAAGTCACGATTATAAATATTTTTTTCAGTTTAAATATGTAAAAATTTTCTTGAAATCTTGATAAAAGTAACACACTATTTTTATTGACAAAGTAGCACTTTATTCATATGAAAAAGTAATACAACATTAGGGCCTGTGCTCGATTTCTTTTATAATTATTTTCAAAAGCGTATGTAACGAGAAAACTAGAGAAGGCCTTCTTTTCGTTTGGACATCTTACGCATTCTATGTAACAATAGATCAAAATTACAAATCGTGGAAATTTTGTTGGCTTGTGAAAGCCTATCATTGTGTACTAGGGTGTTTATCTCTGTTTACAAATTTGCATCTCTATAACTATGATTTTAATGTTTCTTTCTTGTTTCTATTAAATCCGTAAAGTCGACGTAATGTACAATATATCGTTAAAACCGCTTCTTTCTTTTTCTGCAAAAGTGTATTTTTTTCTGCAATTGTGTATTTTACCCTTTAAAATATATTTATAAATCTTTGTAATCACGAGCTATCATTTATATGTACCATAACATTCTTCATTAATACTAAGCACCCAAATGTCACTCAACGTATCGCAAATTTGATCAAATGCTTGAAACTTACAAGAAGACTGCAAGGCTTTCGCATCTGGGATTCGGCTGAATCTTTATACATTGATAGATTTCGGTACCCTGTTTATGATTATATACCATTATAAGGCCAGACACTCAAGGGTTTTTAAAATATTTGCGATTAAAGTTTTATTATATCCATAAGTAAAATTGCAGGTGAAGCAACAGCCGTCGCTCTACGGTAACATGCTAAAATGACACTCGGGTTCTACTTTCTCAGAAAATTTTTTGCAATTAAATTATTTTCATTTATTATACTTATGATAATTATTTTCATTTATTATATTTTTTATTTATTATACTAATAATAAAATACCGAATCCTTACAATGATACAAAACAATAATTCAGCAAACTGTGATAAATACTAACGTTATATATAGTAATAAATGACTAGTTATAAATATTTAACGTTATAATAAATTTTTTGTGTATAATGACATGTATCATTTTGGAATTCCTTTATCTAACAAATAAAATAAAAACCTAGAAATGAATGAAAATAATGTACTAGAAATAGACTTGAAAATAAATTACACACCTATATACATGAAGTATAATAAATGAAAATATTTTAATTGGGAAAAAAAAATTGTCCGAGAATGGAGAATAGAACCCGAGTTGACAGCTAACCATCCTAGTACGTTATCGTGGAGCCACAACCATTTTTGACCGTCATTTCAACTGCAACTATACTTGTAGGTATAACTTGTGGATAAAACTTCAATCGCAAATATCTTAAAAACTCTTAAGTGGCTGCACCTATAATGGTATATATTCATAAATAGAATACCAAAATTTATCGGTATACAAAGTTTCGAATCCCAGACCTGAAAGCCTTGCAGTCTCCTTGCTAGTCTGATCCTAGTGTTACCTGGGTTTATACTTAATATGTATTAAGTTTTAAATCTTAAAAAAAAAGAAAAAGAAAAGATAAGCTAAAAACCTGTTTTTTAATACTTTATTGCCTTTTCATGTTTTTTGTATCGAATTCTTTCCAGTAAAAGAGTTCATAATTATCAAAAAGACTATTATGAACATCTTATAAATGTTTTATTGCAAAATATTTTTAGATTTCGACAATGCTCGTTTTAAAAAACGAGAGAAAATAGAATTTTCCTAAATTACTTGGAACAGAACTTCAATAAAAAAAATAACACATAAATATAAATCAGTATTGAGATATTTCATTCTTTTAATCTACGACAAAAAAAAAATAAGTATATCGTTGAATTTTTATCCGATAAAAATATGTAGTTAGTCCATTGCAATAATGGTGCACATGTAAGTGCTTTGAATCTGGTACAATAGTGTTGATCTATGTAAATGCTTTCTCTGTGTCGCATGTGATTTCTCCTAAACACATGAAAGTAAATAGAAAAAATTTCATCACTGTCTCTGATTCTTTACCACAGCTCCCCATCTTTTTCTTTAGCTGGCACTTCTATTACTCGTGGTTTGTCAATTATTCTAGCTGTGCGATTTCCTTTCTCTACGATACCAATAATCCATGCTTGATAGCCTTCCTGCTTTTCAATATCTTTACAATACGCAGCGGCCTAAAAATTATTCGTAAATTATAAGAATCTGTTCACTAATAAACATTCCACCAATGTGTTTTGTATTACAAAAAATAAAAATAAAACAATTGTAAGAGATTCGACGTCACCAAAATGCTTATAATAGCAAATTAGCATGAAATTCTCTATTGCTTTTCCTGCCGTTCTTTAAAGTATTTAATGATAAATAATATACATTACTGTATTAGCAGGACACAAGAAAAAAATACTTAAAAAAGAAAAATATTACAAACTTGTTCTCTAGGTAGGCAAATGAGCAATCCACCGCTCGTTTCCGCCGAATGACCTTGAAGAAGTTGGAACATGTTACCGCATGCTTTTGCTACAGCTGCCATTTTAGCGATAACAGGTAAATTATGAATAACAAAAGAGACTTCGTTTTTCTGGTGTTTGGCCAGATTTTGTGCATGTCCTAAAAGACCAAAGCCCGTAACATCTGTTGCTCCATGAGCATTGTATTTATGCATTAATCTAGCCGCTGAAAATAAAAAAAAGAGTTAATTACCGCTTTTGTGTTAATAAAAATATAAAGTTGTAATTTATTGCATACCTATTCTGTTAAGCCTGGCCATACTATCCATCGCTCTTTGATAGGCTTTTCTCACATCATCTTCACTGACCACAAGTTTGATTCTGTTCCAACGATCTGGTTGATCTAACCATTGGTGAGCATTGACAGCAACTTGAGTGCCAAGTGGCTTTGTCAAAACAAGAACATCACCCACAACCGCATTGTCCGGTCTGTAACATAAAGAGTTATTAAAAAAGAAATGATACTATGTTATATCAATCATTCATTGGCACATACACAATGTATTCATTTGGTTGACAAACAGTAGAAGCAACACCACCTATCGTACACCAAGGATTAACAACTGTCTGACCTCCTGTCACTGTGGTACCAGCTTCCAAAGCAGAATCTTTGAATCCCCTCATGATCAAAGGAACAACAACATCCCGTTCCTTCTCAGTCATTTTTGTACTGACTCCCAACAGCATCAGCATATTGTCACACTCAGTAACACCCATGGCATATAGATCGCTGATAACATTTGCACAAGCAATTTTACCTGAAAAAGTACTCCAATAGCAGTGGTTAAACAGGATACTATCAAACAAATTTTATCCTTAATAAAATAAATTTTATATAAGAATATAATTCCTTAATAAAAGAAAATTCATATGAATGTACGATGCATAATCTTAAAATATTAATGATGTGTCTTACCCATCATATAAGGATCATCAACTAATGGGTAGAAAAAGTCAGTAGTTTGTACCAAACTAAGCCCTCCATGCCTCAGTGGAGTTACGGAGGAATCCATGCCAATGCCTGAAAAAAAAATATAAATTATTCTCAATATTTATGTATTTCTAAAAAAATAATAATACTTCGAAGTTATTTTCGCATGATTCTTTTTGTAGATTCGTTTTAATTTAATTGTCATATAATACTATGAGTAAAAAAAATTCGTTTGTATATTAATAATTCCGGTGTTATGATTTTATGTGTCATTAAAATACAAGTTGAGAACACTAGTATTTCCGGTGGCGTGGGAGAAATTGGGCGGGAGACGATAACATGGCTGCTAACATGATAGGGCTGCCTATTGAGATATTTGTGCCCTAGGTAAGTTTTTAATAAAATTATTTGTTTACAAACAAAATCCCTACGCTGTATAATAACTTTTTATAATCAAATAAGTAAAACGCGGCATTTAAATGTTTTTATCAAGCGTAGAAAAATATTTTAGCCGGGAAAAATTTCCATAATTCACGTTCAAATTTGCAACGATAGTTCTTTACTTTAACGAACGTAATTGTTCAAAAGTGAAAAAAAATAATTTAACAATAGAAAAACATTCAGGCAGATGTTTGTGTTAACACAATTAATAAAACTTAAAAATATACGAAAAAAAGAAAAAACTAAGACGCCTGTGTAAAAAAAATCAAACATGTCGGTGCAGCGCTGTCTCGCAAAGGCGCGCATTAAAATCAAACAACTTACCGATGCGTGGAATGGCCATGTGCATAAAATGGGCATGCTCATGATCTTGTGCGCTACCATCGTCGGCCTGCAGTCCCTCGAGGAGTTTCCCAAGAACCTCCTGAGGGACTTTACACCCTCATCCTTTCAGGTCGGCGAATCGCGTAAGGTGGAAGGTTGCGTCGAGATCATGTGCCACCGGATCAAATGGCCTACGCAACGCCAAGGCATTCGGATTTCCACCGAGCTCCAACTGAGCTACGGACAGGGCGTCCTGGGCAACTGGGGTACCCTGTAGTTCCGCCATCTTGCTAAAACGAAAACTAATGACGAACCGGGTACGCGACGCGTTTCGCGGCCCTGCACAACGATTCTCTTTCCAATGATTTCACCTCCTCAATTCCTCTTGCGCGATGTATCTACAAGTAGGTTCTCACACTGGTCGGCTGCGCTCTCTGTACTTACGATACGCAGACACGAATCTACGAACGCCGCCGACAGACAGCCACTGGCTTTGTAACCCTTACTCGACTCGAGTAACACGAACTCGTCACAAACGAGAATTATATTTTGCACCGGCGTCGACTAACCGGGATCGTACGTACTAACAAAATGGACGTGCCTTCAGCTTTCGCAGAATCGGAAGAACGCGCAAGGCCACCAAGAGCCCCCCCAATGCCTCTACTGTGGCATTGCTCTATTTTGATTGGCCCTTTCGAATTGGCGCATGCGTATTTTTCGCGTAACGCCCAGGTACGTCCATACCATGACAATTCGCCCGTGCTGCACGTACGCGACATCGAATTGTGTTATGCATTAAGAATTGACGCGACAAGTGTGCCTCTGTGACATGTATACGCTTTGCTCTTGATAAGTTCAAGCAGTGACTGGCAAATTATATTTTTTGGTATGCTAATTCGTAATAATCGGATAATTAAAGGGAAGATTTGACTTGTTTCAATAGATGCGTAATTTCACATATAGAGCATGATCGGCAAATGTTTTTTCAAATTTGAAATTTGATTATCGGTAAAATATATATTTTGATTATTTTCTGATAATTATGTATCTTTTTTTTTATTAAAATTAATACATTTCTGCTGACTTATTAACTGATTATAAATTCATTAGTCAAAATGTCATGTCTTTTTGGATAGAAGTGTTCAATAGCAAAAATTCAGAGATACGCCAATGAAGGTACAATCTGATTTAAAATTCTTTCATCTCCAATTGGAGCAGTACACGTTTAAAAACAGAATTGTTTAAGATTTTTCAACGTTATTATTTCTGTTAATCTTTATATTGTTCCAAAAATTGGTACACATATAGTACTTTTGATTATAATTAAAAAATAAATAAATTTTCTTATGTGTAAAAAGATAGTATCATCAGCGCCATGCTTTGTCCTTGACCATCACTCATTCTTGTTTATCAGTTTGACATATTTTTCTTATAAAATATACACAAAATGTGTAATATCACGATATAAAATTCAATATAAAATTGGATATTTATAACTGAGAATATATTGGATATTTATAACTGATATATTATAAGAGATTATATATATCTAAGAGGTTATAAGTGAACAGAAATTTAGTCTTTTTATTGTTTATAAAAGAATTTGCAAATTTAACTATTTCTTTTCATCGTAGATATTAATTTCTTACCTCTGTATCAATTTGACAACAAGGGATAAACTAAATTGGAAAAATGAAGAAGGAATGAGAGTTAAAAGATACATTTATCTTTTTTTTTTTTGTATTGATCTAGATTATGCCATTGTTTTTTATAAAAATCTCTTGCTAATGAAAAGTACAATCTGCGAAAGCAATTTGTCTAGAAACGTCATGTTTGCATTCGTAGATTTGCAGATTCGCACGTACACTGCACATTATGGTGCATTTAAGAATTCGGTTGTTTTCGAATAATTAACCGGAAGCAGTGGAATCTTTTAGCGCAACACATGCTCAATTTTCATTAGCTTCTTCCGTTGGCTCGAAGATACTGCGTTGCTTTACTGACCAATCAACATTTTTCAGTGATTCTCAACCACGTCAAGATAATACTTTGGTTGTGCAAATATGTATTTTTATTCTACGCTGCGAAAACAAGCTGAAGAAAGGAGAAGGGGAAGGATCCCTTTTCCAAATCCAATCATGAAATTGTGTAGATCCGACTATACTTTGTTTTTAATTGTCTTTTATTGCTGTACATAATTTTAATAATATATATGACTTTATTAATTCTTATTAATGATAGTATATTAATACTATAATAAATTACAAATTATTTTAGAATATAAGTTTCCCACGTAAATTGTGCTAATAACATTTCCTAATTCTTTATATATAAAGTTTATGTGTGTATATACATATGTGTGATGCGTGTGTTTAATTTCGCATATATATGTATGTATATACATATAATTTATCAGTCGTTGTAGTATTCTGCGTTCATTTATAATAATTACAAACTTTTATAAAAACTTTTGATTTAAAATTGATCAACTCTTTCGTCTTGTTGATTTTTCACTATCGAGCAAGAAATATCGTTTTCGATTGACATTCCCGATTCCTTTTCGTTTAATATCTTATCGATCAAATTCAATACAGATATTTTAAAGCTTCTCTTCTCTTGTCTCGTCATTTGTCGTACGTCTGGAAGCAAGCTTTTAAAGAACAACAAGTCTGAGTCGTTGATCGATTCGTCGAAGTCTCGACGATTGGCGAGAACACAATTATCCAAGCATCTGTGTGACAACAATTGGTCGTCTGTAACCCTGATTGTTTTACTCCTCGAGAACGCGTATTCTTCGTTCCTCGTGTCTCCCTCTCTTTCTGGCTCTGGCATCTTTTGGTCTGATTTGTTTAATTTTTCATAATTGGAGGATGTGTCAGAGGCGGTTTCCTCTTCGTTCCAATTCTCTTGCACTATTGGTCCTTCTTCATTCAAACTGTCATCTGGCCTGGGGATAAAAACAAAGAAATATAAAAAAAAAAATAGCTCGACGAATCACGGGATTTATTAACGATTTTCTATTGCATGTCAATGTTTGTCAATTACCTACGAAGTTTGCTGTAAGGAAGTAAAAAGTCCATATAATCGGCCATGTAATACGGCCTCTTCACTTTCGAATTCGCCGTACTTTGATTTCTTAAATGTCTACTGAAACTAGCCCGAAGATTTTTCCATTTCTCCTTGCATTCCGCTGCTATGGGAGTAAAGGAATTCAAAATATATGATTGAATTTCGCATAGAAAAACTGGAAGACGCATTTGAACTCGGAATTCTTACCAGAAGCGTTCACCTCTTGTGCCACTGCTCTCCACATTTTATTTCGTACAACTCTGTTATGGTAGTCATTACAGCTGAGATCATACAACGCTGGATATTTTTTAACTGTTAATACTAAGTTTATGTAATTCCTCGTTTCATCCATCTTTTTTGTTTTTTGCAATATTGTTTTTAACAATAAATAAATACGTCGCTATATCGCGAATTAATATCTTTTTACAAAGAACGTGATGATATACTGAAATAAAAACACGTCTAACATCAACGAAAAATTATTTTATAAAGTAATATACAGTCATCTGCTTGATTTTTGTAAGAATAGTATTATCACGCGACTTTGAATTCATAAGTTTTGTATCCCTCGCAATACAATTCGCAATGCGATATGTGTCATATAGAGTTCGCGAACATGCAATGTCTGCGACGCTTTTCCAACCGTGTCACTTTCACTTTGGCCACCCTTTTTACTTTTTGATTGATTTTCAGAGTACTGAACGTCGAACAATAACTAGGATACTTCAACGCAATACGTAAAAGAATACTTGATCGGTGGATACGGTTCGATATCAGAAAGTTGTCGCGTCACCGACAAAACGTCATGTCGCCTCGCGTCTGTCGTTTCCAGGGATGACTAACATGTTATTGGACCCTGGGCAAATATTAGTTATTGCAAATTGCCTTTTAAGATTGTCGATGAGATTTTTATTGCATTGCAATTTATATAGGATCTTATTTAATGTGTGACATTAAGGAATTAAGTCATAAATTACTTGAGATGAAAAAATAAAATTACAAATGATCAATTATGATAAGCTACACTCATGCAGGGATATTTTTAGCGTGCTGAACCGGAACATAAACGTACTTTTAGTTATTCAGGTATCCGCGTTATCCTTACGCGATAAGATCAACAATTCGATAGGTGGTGCTGCTATCGATAATAAATCAATAGATAAAGTTTTTTAAATCAGTCAAATGAAATAATTTGTTCAGTTATACAATTCATTTAATCAAAGATGCAAAATACAGAACATACCATCATCTAGTATATTTTTGTTTTACGGCTCAAGAGTTTTTTTTTTCGGTTTCAAAGTCGTTGCCAACGTTATCGATTCAGCATAGAAGGAATAAGATTACAACGTTATTAATGGTTGGAATTGGAACTAAATTTTATTAAAAATTGCATTACAAACAAAATTTATATTCAATGAACATCACATTTATGTCACACGATAGAAGGAACATCCAATGCTTTTTTGTGACTCATGTTTGGGATATCTAACCCTCGTACCATTTTCGTGTCACATCCTACCATATCGATTTAAACAGATTTTGTACCACAGCGCTACTAATAATAGGAATTAAAATTAAAAAATATAAATAATGTTATTACATTTGCATCGAAAATTATTTATTATTAACGAATTAAACGTGAACGCTTTCTTACTTGCATAACTCTTCTTAAAGGACAACCAACTTAATTTCTGACTGTAATATAATTATTTTCTACATAAATTAGTATTGTATGTTACAGACTTATAAATTAGCATTTAGCAATTATATCGACAGAGTTATAAGTTAAAACTAACCAAGCAAACGTAAAATTCACTTTGCAAAAAATATAGAAATTAGTATTTATTGTTATCCATCTTTGCACAGACGAGGTATATGAAATCTTTGGTAGTACATACCTGTTGTGTTGAAATTCTCCTTATGTTAATGGTTATGTAAAGGTCCTTGTTATGAAGCTGCAGTTAAGTACTAAATTTCGGAATTTAACGTAAGAAACATTTTTTAGTAACTTTTTAATTTTTAATTTTTAATAATAAACAATCGAAGCATTCTTTCTAAATAATATAATTTAATATAATAATAAAGTATATAATAAATATAATAAGTATATAATAAATTTATAAAGTATATAATTCTATTTGTTCGTTTATTAGTTATTTAACAATTTTTAATTATTTGTTATTAATTATTATTAATTATTGTAATTGATCGATTCAGACTTATTCTTTTTCACAAGCTTGCTCCTACGAAACGTACGAAAAATAATGAGACAGGAAAATTGTTTAAAATATCAGTATTGAATTTGATTGATTGAGATAAGTAACGAGAGGAAATCGAAACCTAATCGATTTTTTTCTTGCGCGATAGTAGAAGATCAATAAGATAAAAGAGTCGACCAGTTTTAAATTAAAAGATTTTATAAAAATTTGTAATATATTATATAATA